AGTAGATAAAAATGGTCCATGAATTTCATTGAATTGGATCATGGGTTTCCTGTTGTTGATTTGTTTTTGTTTTTCAACCAAGATGACTGATTCGCTGAAAATTGTCTTATAGAAACTTACATGCTAATAGCTGCTAATAGTTTTTTGGTTAGACAAATACGAAGCAAAAGGAAAGAGAAAAAGGAATTCTTACTCAGAATTTGGGACTTTAAAATTTACATGTTCATTTTAAAGATGTATCGATATCTTTGAATCTTTCTCTTTTCATAGTGGTATAAATGACAAACCTTCATATGGTTTTGCTTTTAATAACCTTGAAGATTGTCTTCCTCCAATTCTGATTTAAGTATTCTTTTCTTCATATAGTTTATAAATCTCATGTTTGCTGACATAAAACAGTTTTATAATCCTTAACTAGCTGCTTAAGTTTTCCTGTTTGGCTTAGCATGGTTTTATTCAACTTCCACAAGTCCAAAACATGAAGTGGTCCTCTTGAAGGAGGAGATGTTAAAAATACTGTGCTTGTTTACTTGTCTGTTCTTTGAAGTTGTATTCTCACAGAATTTGGAAATAAAATTACACGAGAAAGAGCAATGGCTTTATTTATATTTTCTTTTCTTAATGTTTGTTACGCAAAATAAGTACTTGTATGATATTTACAGAAACTGGTTTTCTAAAAGTAAAAAATTTCATGTTTTCATTCTTTAGAACTCTGGTTGTTGTGAATGCCGTGTTTCCTCCTTATGCCTTTTGAGATTCTGACCATCAAAACAGATAAAATTGCATGCTTGTCTCCAAGATGACAAGGAATTTTGGGAAATGAAAAAGATGTAAGAAACGAGTTGCAAAATAAAGAGACAGATTGTTAGGCTTTTGAAAATATGAAATTATGTATGGCAAGAGAACACATTTGTAAATTGATACTCTTCTCTTAAATAGATGCTCTTCTCAGAAAATATCTTGTGAAATTTTGCATTGCTTGCTGCAGTGGGTATTAGAACAAAATCTAAGACTAATTCTACTACTTTCTGTTGGTTGATACTTGAAATCCTAGTCCCTCAAAATCTCTGCTGGTTCCCTATCCTCAGCTGACTTTGCTTAAGCACTTGCAGATTTTCTTTATTTTTCAGTATTCCAACAGGAATTGCTGTGAAAGTTGCAAGACTTATGATCTTCATGTGTGGACTGAATTTGTCACTGTTGTGATACATCTGAAAAGCATGATCATTCTAGAAATTGGTTGTCAGATTAGTAGTTGCTCCTTTTTGTGTGACCATACCCAGAGGGAAATATTTGGAAATATTAGCTCTGGTAGAACTGCTTTTGAAAAAGGCTGATTTTTGAAAAGCAGAGTAGCAAGAGACATGACCATGCTTACTTCTGACTTAGATCATTAACAAGGAAAATAGTATTACCTTGATGTTAGAGATCTATATTTATATGCTTTCAGTTTGTGCATAACTGGTCTTATGCATGAAAAGCCACAAAATGTTAAAGATTAAATTAGCCAACTAGAAAAGTTTCTGATCCTCTGTTTCATTAATAAAGTAATAGAGCAAATCAAAATAAACTAGGTTGAATGCAATATTAACCTCTGTTCTTGTAAAGTGGTCCTTGTTAGCACCAATGTTTTGGTTTATTTCATTTCAACTATACTGTGACAAAGAATCATCACATAAAAATGGCATCTTTTAATAACTATAATTTGAATATGGTTTGTTTCTATAATTTTCTTCTTTCAATGGATTTAGTGTATGAAAAATCAAGCCTCTATCTTGCTATGTCCCCTTATTTACCTAACTTGTGTTCATAGATCATGTGCAAGCTTGAGAAGGAAAGGCACTTTACAGTTAAAGTTTAATCACATTGAATGAGCAGTACTGTGGTATATTATATAGTGGTCCTTAGATTTAAATATAGCATATCTGTAAACATAGCATTCAGTGCTTTCTCTTCTGGATTCTTAGATACATGAGTAGGAGTCATGTATGTGAAGCCTCCCAGACTGGAAACCTCTTATCACAAATGCTATCTGTTATGTTATTTAAAATGTAATTAAAATACTGTAGTTTTCCTAGAGCTGTTCTAATAGACTTATAGGAAAAGGCAGCTTTAGCCATAGTATCTTGCCAAGATTCCTACTCTTTCTTTGCTAATTCACACCCTTTTACCTAACTGACTTTAAATAAATACTTCAACTGATTTCTTTTGTGAAAGTACAACCCTTCAAAATTAGAATGAAAAGTTTAATGGCCTAAATACAGTTCAATCCTATTTGAAAAGCCTGATTTATCTTCCATGGTTTCTTTTTTTTTTTTTTAATACTAGTATTTCCTTGTTATGCCCTTGGTATTTCATAGCTGTCCTTTTTAAGCACTGAAACAATTAGTTCTGAGAAGGCTGATTCTTCAGGGTCCAGTGCTTTCCTGCCTTTCATTTGCCGAAGCTGTACATTTTAATGAAGTTGTTTCATCTGTGTTGCCAAACACTAGAATTTTGCTGCTTCAATTCTAATTATCTCTGCTGGCAAAGGCTATGTTTTATTAAAGCTGTCAAGTGCACTGTTCATTAAATGTCCACAGTCAGTGGTGCTGTGCACACAAATTAGATCAGCTTTGCTCCTTGATAGATTATGAAGTTAAATATTTTTATATAAACCTCTAAAATTGTGTCTAACAGCAATCAGTGATGACTTAGATAAGTAAAGCATACCTGCAGCTTCTTGGAACCTAGTATCTTGTCAAAAACCATCTATGAAACATATGTTAAATCACTAGTACCACAGCTGAGTATACCATTTGTATGATTAATTCATTAAGATACCATTTTCCTTCCTCAAGATATCTACATTGCATCTTGAATTATGCTTTATATGTGTTGAGGGTAAGATAGGTTTTGTTATTTTTGCTTTGATATAAAGTAAAGCATCAGTGCTAGTCTTTCGGTAGAGGGTTGTATAGTATAATTGATGTCCATTAAAAGGAAAGATGGCTTCATTTAAATGTTACTAACCTGGAGAATGTGAAAGAGTACTATCGTAAACAACTAACAGCTCCTCTTCTAATTGCGTATCTGAAAGGGGAATTTTACTACAAGATGTTTATTTCAAACATATAAAGCAGTAACAGAAATATTATACTTGCAAAGAAAATATTTGAGTCAGCTTCTCGTTTTGACACCTGTGGATTTTTTTTGCTTTTGTTAATTTTATGTTCTCACCGTGTGTATCATTATTTTCAGTAACACAAACAGTCATTCTTGCTATTTAATGTATTGTTTTCCAGATTAAATTCTAGAGAATTAATAAGATATTGTGATGATGCTAGATGTTTTTCTTACCCTCCAACTATCTGTAGGGCAATAACTTCAAATTTATTTTTAATACCATAACTTTATGGTATCTGTTTTCTGTATTGGTTACCTTATCTTTTGAAGAATCTTGTGTTTATACTTTCAACTTTGCTTTTGAATTTATCAGGCTACATTTCAAACCTTTAGAGGAACAGATATTTATTGTGCTCTTTATAGAAATCATAAATAACCTCTCAAAGTGCTATGTAAAATAAATAGATTTTAAGAGCTCTTGTATATATATTTTTTAGGATTTGGTAGGAGACTACAGTCCTTCAAAGGACTATGAGGCACTCTTCCTTGTCTCTTCTCCTTATGATCCAGTTTAAAGTGCTCTGGTGTGAATAGAAAATTCACATAGCCTGAAGTTGAATAGGAGGCTGTGTATGTTTATGTATTTTATTATCTGTTAATGTATTATGCCTTATCATATATATTGCATGGTATTTATAGGAAATAATAGCATTTAATTTTAGTTTTGTAGTGCAGAAGCAGAAAGTGTTCCTTTGTGTGTATTCAAGAGGTGAAGTGATTTTTGTCATCTGAAATGCTTGACTTCAGACAGATAGTCTTTCATCATGTTCAACTTTAACTTTTTTCAACTGCCTACTGTCAGACAGGAGATGGACCCAAATAGATGGTGTATTCTGTGGCAGTGAAGTAGTTGAACAGTACCAATACTGAGAGATTTTCTGGGAATGGGAAGCATGGAAGTCACCTAGGTGCATGTGAAAAATCTACAATACACAAAATATGACAATTTGTTCTTAGTGTTGTTATTTTCACTTTGGATGTATGTTTCTATTTGGCTTTGAGTCTGAAAAATTGGACGAAATCTTTCCTGAATCTTCTAGGGAGATTTGAAATGTGTTCAGACTTATATTTACATCTAGACTCGGATTTGTAAAATCTTGTCCTATTTTGGCTTCTTGGAAATTACCTGAGTTAAGTCATTTCTCTAGTGTGTATCAATAAATGCTTTGACTGCACCACCTTATCCACCCTTTTCAGGGTGAGTATGCAAGTGTAGTGAATATAACAGGGAAATAAATTTCTTTATAAACCTTGATGCCTTCCTTTTCTCAGTGTAGTCTCAACAACTGTGAAAAATCACTGAAGCAATGATCAAAGACATTATAAGAGTGATGTAATTCAATACAGAAACAGGTTTTTAACATATCTGTGTAATTTTATACTTATGACTATATACCAACAAAAGCAACAAAGAGATTTTACAACTTATGGTGGGTTATCAAGCTGAAACTGCAAAGAGTAAAATTAATGTCATTAATAAAAGAAATACCATACAAAGGGAAATATTTCTGGTTCTGAATATATAGAGATTAAGTTGATAAAGTTCTATGCCTTTTTAAGAAGTCCTAAGATTTTAGACCTAACTAGGAATTCTTTCAGTTTAAAAGAACATGGGAGAAGTTTTGGTCCAAGGTTTTAGATCCTGAAATTGATATTATCTACTAAGATATTTGGTTGGTTTTATTGTATTTAAGATGTTGAATTGTAAGGGATTAAGAAAGCATTGCTTTTGCATTACCACTTTTTTTTAAAGGGAATAGTCTTCTTCTAAGCTTGCAGAAGGAATACTAGATTTTTTAATTTGGATTTTGTTTTGGTTTGTTTTGTTTTTACAGGGACATCAAGACAGTATACTTGGGAATACAATGCAAACTGTAATCGCCTTACTGAATAACATCGTTGCTAACAAAAGTACAAATATGATGTTACTCTTTAAAGAAGGTATCTCATTTTTATCTTTATTCCCCTTACTCTAGATGTTTCCTAGTCTGTAATATCTGGCACTGTGTGAAACTAGACTTGAATGTATTTAGAATTTATAGTGGTTGTTAGATAATCACATCGTAACTGATATACTCCTCATCACTTCTTCTTACTCCCTTACTGATTTGATTATGAGTTTAACTTTTAGAAAGCTGTTCTTCCAAGAAAATATGGTTACAAAAGAATTACTGACTGAAAGTTACGTTATACCTGTAAAGAATGGCTTCAGAAAGGTGTGGACTAGTGATCTGATCATAACAGTGCAGAGAGAGAGACCTTCTGCAAGTTCTACCTTTTCTCACTGCTCAAACCTATGAAAGGATAAGTTGTACAATATTTCTGGACACTTTAAAGAAATAGTTCCAGTCCAGTGATGTAGACCAATGGGGTGGAGCCCAAACTGACTATAAAGTCGTAGCCTACAAACCATTAAAAGTCTTCGTGAAATGTTTACCACCCGAGTTTGGTGGTGAAACACTGGCACAGATTGCCCAGAGAAGTGGTAGATGTCCCATCCTTGGGAACATTAAAGGTCAGATTGGATGGAGATCTGAGCCACCTGATCTAATTGAAGATGTCCCTGCTCATTGAAGTGGGGGTGGACTAGCTGACCTTTAAAGGTGCCTTCCAACCCAGACTATTCTATGATTCATTTCACTATGTTTCATTACCTAAGCTAAATTTTAATTTAGAAATTGTTTCTGGTTTACAAAATTAAGTTTCTGCTGTTAGAAATCTATGTAAATTTAAAAACTTGTTTAGAGACATACACATTGATAACATTTCTTTTGTTTATCATGAAGGGGTGAGTGACATCCAGCAATACAGATCTATGCTACCATTTGTACTATTTGGTGGTAAACATACTAGCCTAAAAGTCTATCAAGATTGGTAGTAGTAGTAATGTCTCATTTTCATAATTACCTTAGCAATTAAAGCACTCACCCAGAAAGCGGAAGAGCTGAATTTCTGATCCTTTTTACTCTTAAGGGATTGAATGGACAATGTGATTATTCAGGAGATGAACTGGAACTTGATATTGTAGCTAATAACATGCTCCTCTCCTTTGTTTCAAATAGAACCACTCAGAAGTTAGTGTTTGATAATAGAGCCAGAATAAAAAAAAAGAATAGAAAAATATTACTAATTCGGAGAAAGATGGTTCATAGGATTCTGATTCTTTGGTTATTTCTCACCTAACTGCCTATCACATTTCGAACTGTTTGGGGTTTCTTGGGGTTTAGATGTATGTGGTGCTTTTGCTGTCTTCGAGCATACCTGCTCTGTGTCAGGCAAAATCCTAAGTTGGCACTGACCTGAGTTGCAGCAGGGTAACTTGCTAAAACTGCATAATTACTTGCAAAGAAGTCAGTTCAAGTCCCACAAGCATTATAACCATGTAATTGGCCTGCCTTACTCGAAGTAATATGCTCTGCCTTTCTGCATGGCAAATTAGATGCAAAACTATTTAACAGCATGGCAGAACTGCATCTATTCTCTAAATATCTCCTCCTTATTGTCTCACAGAGCAAACTCCCACATACTTTTTCATTCTGCTGGTAAGATATCTGTGTTCTTTGACTTCTCATCTGCTCCAAAAATAAAACACATCTCTTTGGTCATGTTAGTTTCCAAATGAAGAAAGTGGGATAGAAACATTATTAAAGTCCTTTATCTTTTTATTGTGCTATTTCATAGTGACTCCAGTAATATTTTCAGACTATTAGTGATTGGATGGCACTAACTTCTGCTCACTGAACTTCAGTAAACACACTAGAAAAAGCAGCACAGCGGCCAAAGATATTTTATCTCAAGCAAAATGTCCCCATCCTTTTTTCCCACTTGCTAATCTTCAGAGTACTGAAAACTGGATTTTAGCCAGTACTTTATTGATTAAGGGCCTAATTGTCAAGTAAAAACTTTTAAAATTTGGGTTGCAAGAATGTTATGAGAGTATTGTTCTTGTAATTGTAGACTGTTAGATTTCCTTTGACTTAAAAGGGGAGAGAAGCTATGCCATGCAAACTGGAGGACTTTATATTATTTGTATTATCAACTGAGTATGTAGTGTTCACATCAGGAAAATACCTTAAACTTCCTCTGCCATATCTTTGATATTCAGCTTGTCATATTTCAATGACTTTTGTGTGATGGAGAAGAACATGATCTAGTGAAATGGCAACTGAGCTCCCTCTTCCAGAAAAATATCCTGGAGTTCAAATAGAAAAGTTGAACATGAGTCAGCAGTGTGCATTACAACAATAAAGGCAAAAAAGAGATGTGATAAGAGAGAATAACTGGAAGGTTGAGGAAAGTGATTATTCTCCTTCATTCATTGCAGTGTCTAGTTTTGAGCTCCAATCTATAAGAAAGACATTGACAGACAGGAACAAGTCCAGAGAAAAGCAACCAAGATGTTTAGGAAAGTGGCCCACGTGATATGTGTATTTTCAGCCTTTGCCTATACTATTATATGAATGTATTCCTTCCAAGTGCAGAACTTTGTATTTGCCTTTGTTAAACTTTAAAAGGTTTCTGGCAGCCCATTTTTTGAGCTCTTCAGCGTCTTGAGCTCTTTCTAAATGTTAGGTCAACCCTTCATCACACCAACTGCTTTCTTCATTTCAATGTCATCTGCAAACTTGCTGAACATGCATGTTATTATATCCTATTAACACTCTGTGCCTGTGCTGTTAATGAAGACATTCAACATTCATGAGCTATCCTACTGTGTTAAAGAAAAAAAGGCTGAAGACAGAGTATTATGAGTCATCAATTTCCCTTATTTTCCCATTACAGTGTGATAATTAATTCATATTTATATGGAGCTTTAGAAATTAAAAACCCTAAATACTTGCTGAACATTATAAGGAACTCAGATTAGGTGGTCAGTCCTATCAAAATTTTGTTTCTAAAAGTCAAGACACTAGCAATGAAGATTTCTTTCCAATTTTGTGCATACCTTTCTTCAGCTGTCAAGAAGCTGTATTTTTGCGGGCAGATTATTTAGAGACCCTTGTCACTGATTCCTTTTGTGCCTCTTAGCCTTCAGAACTCTCTTTTGCTCAATGGAGTTGTATTAGGTGATAGATTTTTTTTTAAAGGGCTGCAGCTTACATGTTGAACTTTCCCCTTTCTCAAGAAAATCTTGCATGATGGCACTTGCTGCATTAGTGCTGCTGTGATTTCCTATTAATAACAATGATATGCTTGTGCATTTCAGCAGCTTGCGTAGAAGGTGGATTGCCTAGCATTAATTTCTCTCTCCCGTGAACTGTGTCCTTTTGTGTGACAGTACATCAGACATGTACTGATAACCACTTGTAATGTTTAAAGGTGAAATGAAGAATAACATATGCAACTGAAGTCACAGAGGGAATTTAAAAAGGCCTGTACTTGTGTTATCAGCTATTAAACATTTGTTCTGTTAATGTTAATGACAATTTCCACTTAATAATCAGAAGGGAATAATATGATTCAGTTTAATTACTGAGACTGGAATCCAGTCAGGAGACTAAGATTAATACAGGGTCTCTTGTGAATAGTTAAGGTGAGATATTAAAAAGCCAAGACAATAGTGGTCATTTTTAGCGTGGTCTTCTAAGAGAGTGACACTTACCCTCTCTCCTTCTGTCTTGGCTTCTGGCTGCCAGTCCCTTTCTTTCCTCCCTTTCCCCATCTTTTGATATGATTGGACAATTTAAGCTAACTTGAGAGACCACAGAGATCCAAATATACGAAGTATATATTTAATCTGTCATGATCAATATCTGGTAAGAGAGACCCAAGTTAATGCCATAGCTTAGGAAAGGGCAACAGACTTATCAATTAAATATTCTTCACTAATGTACAGCAAATAGAATAGTGTTATACGTGACATGCACAAAATATATATGTACCTATAGATTTACAGAAAGAAAGGAATTTTAACACCTAAAATTTCCAAATTGCAAATTTTAAAAACATTAAGTTTGCAACCTATGATCTTAGACCAACCCTATGGAAATTATGTTGCAAGAAACCAAAAATGTCATTTCATCTTCAGTTAGGAACTAGAGAATGTAAATGTGGGAAGAGCATCATTCTTGAACAGTTTTCCTTCTTTTATCATAAAGTTTTGCCATGATCAAAGTGGAGCCAACTGGTCTGAGTTTGTATCCTGTATTATAGTAGTTCTTACTGTTGGAGGTGCAATCTTCTTATCTCTGAATTCTATTTCTATTAGCATTTATTAAATTATAAAGCATAAAACTTATATAATATCCTGAGATCTGTTGATAAACCTGTAAAGATCTATTAATTAGTACATCTCCAAGGTCTTTCAGTATTGACTTCCCATTTTCTTTTTAGGATATCTGCAGTTTTCTGTTTTAGGTTTGTAACCACTGAGTTTAATGGTGTGTTGGTCAAGGCCTGAGGAGGGTACCTATGAAATGATCCCACAGGATCCGTCAATGCATGGAAGCAACTTGCACTATAGAACATGCATATAGGTGGGTGACATAGGACAAAACAGCACCAAGGTTTCAGAAACAGGGACAGGGAATCATCAGTGGCAAGGATGATGACTTGTTACCATGGGGGTAGGCAGAGATATAGAATGCAGATCTGTAGGAAAGTGGGTATTATTAATTCTGGTCATGAGACAACCAGCTATATATTACTTTGAGCTTGTCATATTAAAAGCGTTAACATTTGTTTACTATAAAGTGAAAACCCTGTTCTAGATGCTAGAATTGTCAGCTCTTAGCAGGTGTTGTAGGAGTACAGTGGATGATCATCTGTTTCTATAGACAGGCTCTAGAGCAGTTTACTGAAAAGACATGTCTGTCTTAGATACGTGTCTATTGACAGGTGTTGACCTACTGAAAAATGTTGACATAAGATGAATACCAAGGTCAGGTTTGGCTGCTTGATAAGTAAATGGTGTTAGTGCAAAAGACTGCTTCCTTATGTGG